TTTAATCTCGACTAGAAAAATTGGATAAAAGGATCAGCAACAAAGGTAGTCGCGAAATATTGGGGTTGGAATTGTAAACACAGCTTAAAGTCTGGATAGACAAATGTGGCGCCAACGTAATGCTGACGCAACACGTAAGAGAAGAGTAAATGCGAGACGATGTGTCTCGGACCGCGGAGCGAACGGCAAGGTCTTATGATCCTGCATTTTCCGAAGAAACAGAAGGCTATACGGATTTCGTTTAACGGAAAACCTATAAAACCTGTGCTCAAATACTTTTATCAATAATGACTGACATTTTACGTTCTGTTATATTTTTATTTTTAAGAAGTAGACATGTCGATTCGAAGCTTCTTGCATTTGAAGTTAGGCGAGTTTGCGCGTGGAGAAGTCGATTCTTCCTAATCGAGCAGAAAACGGAAAAAAAAGCTACGTACCACTGAAGAAAGGTACGAAGAGGAACAAGAAGATTCACGCACGGGATCTCGAACGACGAAATGAAATAAAACGAGTACGAACGGGCAGGAACCAAAAAAAAAAAAAAGAAAAGAAAACGCGAGAGTGCAGGAAAGGGATGAAGAGCCAGGGAGTGAGGGACGTAGGAGCCGAGAAATGGAAGAAAGAGAGAAGGAGAATTCGCAAAATCGGCGTGGCAAGGGCCCCGAGGTGGACGAGATGCGTAAGGCAATAAATATCGTGCGATTAGATCTTCGAACCAGCCGCTGTTGGGGTTGTTTACGAACGGAGGGAGCGTCTATTAATCACTCGACGTTAATCAAGGCAACCGCTAAGTAGACCGCGCCACGGCATTAAAGTCCATTGCCATGTACACTATCGCTCATAAGTATTTAAACAATCCACATCCAACAACATTGCAAATTGTGCAATGTCAAAAAATGTATGAACTCATGAAAAATGAAATTGATAAAGGAACTGTGTAACGCTTTAGGTGAAACACTTACTTAGCATTTAACGAATTTCTGGAATTAGTTCATTTAAATTTTTTACAAATTGACAATTTTGATTTTGATGATTCGAGTAATGAATGAGAGTGTGATTCGATAGTATTCCTCAGTACAAATCGGTGTAAGAACTACATTTACAGTCATGTGTGTACATCAATTGAAATTTTCTACATAAGGGAAGATACAGGCAACAGAACTGGATTGGTCGAGATGAAAAAAGTAGATACAGAACATAAGGTCTATCTGTTGAAGCTAGATGCATGCGTCATAAGCCTTTAGCGGCTATTATTTGAGAGCCGCTACCTACCGCAGACCACGGGCGTACATCTCTCTTCTCATTTTTGAAGAATTAATCGGAACTAATTGCCAATCTGTTCGAAGGAACTCGAGCCCTTCCGCCGTATAGAATTACGACGCTCCTCCGAATCCTTCCGACTGCACGAGTTTTTTGTCCCTTCGGTCGTTCTCCTTTTGCGAACATCGAATTCACAAATTCGTTGCTCGAACTGATTAAAAAATTGAACATTTCTTATCGTAAAAAAAATTGATAAGCCAAATTATGCTGTTTGAAACTTATCAGGCAACAATAATTAAAACTAAAGTAACTCTCCAATGATATTTTTTACAAAGGTAAAATAAAGAACATTTATTTATTTCATGTGATACAAATGCTTTCTTTAGAGTGCATAACATATTTTCCAATCTTTTTCGAATCTTAAAGGCGAATTATAATTTGATAAAACTGCACTGTAATCCTGGAAACACTTTTAACACTGGCTAAAATTTATCGAATTGAAAAGTTTAAAGATATTCTGTTGCGAAATATTTGACAAAAATAGCCGGTCGATATCGATTGAATCTAAATACGAGTTAAATTGTGACAGGCGTATTTTGAATGCAACGCGTCTCGATAAAATGTAAAACTTCCGCTAAACGGCTGGCCAAAAGGAGGAACTGGAAAGCGGAGAAAGAGAATAAGAAGGAAAGAAAGGAAGAAAGTAAAGAGGAGGAAGCGAGCTCTTTATGGACTTGTTTGTCGCTGCGTGGCTTTTTACGAATTATTCGAAAAGTTTGAATCCGCGTCAGGACGCATTCACATGACCGTTTTAGACGATCGCAGTTAGATGAGGTGATTTCCTCTCTCGCAGTAATCGAGTATCGAGTACGACCATTTTTATAAACAAAAGTTTGCATCAGGACGTGCAGTTTGTATGTAAGTTTCATTTAAGGGGATAGGATAGTCACGTGACTTTTCTAACATTTTTCGGTAAATATTTGATGTTTTTTGTTCTGTCCCACCAAAAACAGAATAAAATATCGGTGTAAAAGAATTGACCTTATATTAAAAGAGCTTAGACTCGTCAAGTAGCTCTTCGAAAAATTCGCTCTGGTCTTCATTTCATTTAAAACAATCTCTCCCTCGCATAAAAGTAGATAAATTCCAAAGCATGATAACTACTAGTTCTAGCCAATTTGGTGAATCATATTGACGCTCTAGAACTGGAATCAAGTATTATCGCGTTCTTTCACTGTTTCGGATTTACCAATTTTCTATATTTATTTTAAAACCGACTGTTTTTATGTATTCTGAATCTGTTAAATTTGTAGAGCCAAAATGCTTCACGTAGAAAATTATTCCAATGGTTTCGTAGAATTTATCACTGTATTAATACGCGCTAGCATTTGTCCAATTGTGATATTCTTTTTTTGAACAGCAACGAAAATATTCGCGTTTATCTTTTCGGTTGCAATCAATTTTGCAACGGTGGGATGTATATACCTCCTTTTAGGCTGCACTCTGTCCGTAGTTCTTTGCGATCATATCGCGCAAATAGTAAATCCGAAACACAAGACGAACAGCCAGATGGGAGAAAAAAGGAGAAACGGATACACGGGGGGCAAGGTGGTCGTAGTACAAAAGTAAATAAAAACTGAGAAAATATGTCGATAAATCTAATGTTTAGCCGAGATTGGTGGCGAGCGACCGCACGCGTCGAGAAAGAACTGTCTTCAACGAAACTGAGAATCCATCGACCGGCATGGACCATTGTTTTCCGTTATCGTATCGAAGTTGGTTTTGAATTGTCTCCCTGTACCGGAATCGCGATGAGAATCGTGACGATTCTTCCACCACGGGGAAAGTTTTCGCATTCCTGCCATCCGCTTCGACCGGTCCTCTTCCTCTTCAACCCTTCGCTTACCAACTGTGATTGCCTTTCCTGTGATTCGCGCAATTTCTCTTCGGCTTGTTCCGTTGCTCGTGACAAATTATACACCTCTCTACGTATACGTGATCCACTTTTGTCGTTACACATCGAACGAAAACGATGATATTTATTTCCGCGCGGAGGGTCGAATCTAGTTTCGAAAATTTCTCGCGTCCCAGTGACTGCGTCCTAAGTTCGACTGCTTCCTCGGAAAACTCATTCCTGCAGACAACCCTCGCTAAATCAACGGGAATTCTTTCTCCGATTGATCGCTTGTCATTTCTTACTCGCTGCGATCCTTCGGAATTAAGATTAAGATGTCTTTCGAATTCTCTCATTCCTCATCTCGCTTCGTCGCACAGATTTTTCCTCCGTAACGCGGGATGGAAAATTTCATGAATAACAGGCACAATATGAGAGCAACTATGCATTTCTTGGATATTTCGGACAGAAACATAGACTGACCCGGTTATAAGAGGAATTTATTAATTATGTCGTTCGGTACATATAGAATTATGCAATTACTCTTTTACACAAGTCTGTATCTTTTTATAACGGTACCAAAACCTAACAGAAGTAAAATACATCCAGAACATTTTCATTTTGTAAAAAATATACTATGCTATACATTACTAACAGAAGAATGCTTTATTCTATCATATTTTTAATCGTACTAACTTTTTAGTTATTATAAAAAATATTTGTTGGAAAATATATATAGTATATCGTTTACATTTATATAAATTTAGAATAGACATGTAGAACTTTCCTTTCATAGATTTTACGGTTTCGTATGATTACATGGATTCAGAACCGACGTTTTTATTTACATTCCATGCTCACTGTAGATGATTTATTATAATAAGAAGTCATTAATACCGCAAAGGGACAAAGCTTAAACGCTCTCTTGCTATAAAACATAATTGAAAATCTAATTTTTTTATAGTTGCGTTCGTGATGGGTAAATGGTAAAAAGTTTAACAAGAATCGCCATTGACAGTGTCAAATGTTAGACGATTAAAGTAACTGCGCGAATTTATACAGCCTCAGTTTATTTACATCCTTCCCTGTTCGAAGCCACGCATCCAACGTTGCTGGCAAAGATTGCCGAGAGCCAGGGCGTTATCCGCGTATGACGCGTGCAACCTCTCGTGGAATTATTCCACACGCGCCAACGGCAGTTCGTGATATATGGACAGGCGCATAAAAGACATGTCCCTCCTACACGCGTGACCCATGACCGGAACCGAATATTGAATCATTTTAATATCCCAGAACGAGCCGCGAGATGTACGGCGAAATCGACCTTCTCTCGTGCCTGCCACCTTCAACCGTGCTGGTACCACGCACTGTACCTACTCAATGTAACGACTTTAAAAAGGATTTTTCTTACTCGAATTCGTTGCAAAATCATTTCTACTTGCTTTCAAAATATCTATCCTTTTCAGTAAACTGTAACACACAATGCGTCAATATTGTTTTAGAATCCATTGCGGATAAGAGGGGATAAAATTGTTTTCTTTTTGTAATGTTGTATAATTAATTTTAATACTGCAAATGCACCGTACTGGATACTGAGAGTATCTATTGAGGAATATTTAAAAATTAACAAGATAACATGTCATAAAAAAGACTGCAGATTATGTTCGAGAATTCGGTAATAGGTATAAAATATGCGAATTACGTACTCTATGAGTACTCAGTTTTACTACCTACAGAGTATACACATAATGTATGTATCTATATGTAAAACCTTAGAGATGAAGGTATTTAGTAATAACAATTTATTACTAACTCTAATTATTTACAGAATGCAATTAGTTGCACACAAGATAGAAGTTGGATTTATTTTCTTTTTAAAAGAACATGAAAAGATATTTTAAGTACAGTACGAAAGGGTCAGGAGCTATTCACATATAATACAGTAATGTTACACAGATTAAGAAAACTTTGAGTTATCCAAACTGACTTATATGCATTTTTCTCTATACATATAGTAAATTAAATTTATTTTTGAGATCGTGGCTAGCATTAACAAAGACAATTAATAATTTCAGCGTAAAAATGATATTTTCTACAAGTTACATCCTTAATATAGTATTTTTACAACTTAGAATAGGATCCATTGAAGGATATGTACTTTTTTTTGCATCTATTTACTGATAACGTCGTCAATGTAATTTTATAAAGGTCAAATTGGAAATTACAACAATTCACTTGTTTTTATCTTTCCACGTTTCATTAATAAAGAAAATAATCTACGCATATAATCGATTGTTTAAGTTACAATATAAGATATCATTTTAATTTAGCAATGTTGAAATAAAAGAGATAATGATAAACTAAAATTCAGTTCTTCAAGTCGTTCCTACAATTTAAAGTTCAAATTAACATGCACACTTTCAATAAGTAATTAGTAGAACTTAATTTTGATTTAACGTACTGTTTGCACACACACATTACTGTTTCACTGCTCTTCACTTCAAATTATAGTTAGTAGTCACCAGCAATATTTTTTTCGCTTGCAATATTGTCATTATTAATGCATATTATAGATAATAGAATTATAAATAAGAAATGAAAGAATAAAATTTATGGTGTATGGAATGATTTACAACAGCTGTTATAGTTTACAATCTCTTGATCTTGAGTACGATATTAAATCTAGCGTTAAATTTTTTTGTAGTACAGCTTTTACAAAAATATTCAGTAAAAAAATATTTCAGTATACACGTTTTACATGTGTGCTAATCATACGTGCACATGTAGTATTCATTATTGCCTATTGGCAATGTAAATCAAGTGAATCGATATTTTATATCAAGCTTTGTACATTTGCGCTTTATTTTGTTATATCTAACAAAAATTTTATCTTATGCATACTAAAAAAAAAATATATTCTTGAGAATGAAAACATGCATGACAAAATATGTATATAGGCTTTTTGTTGTACTTCAGTAATCGTTGATTTTTCATTAGTCAAGTAAATTGATAGGGAAAATAAATAGTTCTTTTAATTGTCTGTGAAATCAAATGATATCTGCAAACACCGTACAAGTACTGTTTGGCTTAAGACCTACCAGTATGAAAATATAAATGGAAAATTGAAGTCGTGGTTTACATACAATCCGCTCCTCACTTTATATACTAAGTCGTAGTCTACACGTTCAATGATTAATTATAAAAGGAGAATGGAAATATATCGGATCATTATTGACAAAGTGCATTTATTTAATTAATGACGTCATTTTCAGAGAAGCATCAAGGAACATGTAGGTACGGGATAGGTAGAGAAGGGCATTGATCGTATCCTACAAGAATTTTTACACAAGTCAACATTAATGTCGAGCATCTCGTATGCTTCAAGTCAAGAGGATTTCCGTAGTCGCGCTAATTAGTAGCCGTTATCCATTTCCACGTTTTTTTAATTCCCGATGGCTCTTCGACATAACTGCCAGTCTCGGCTTATTAATGAAAATACACGGTTCTTTTTTATCTTGTATGTTTTAAGTAATGTTATGCCACCTAAATGGTAGGGTGTCACTTGTACTGATTGAATCTTGCTTTCGTTAATCGTCTTTTTGGTTGGTTCGGAGCAAGTAGGTTCTCTTCGAACGTGTCTACAGTGAAGTCCTGCTCCTTCATTAATTTCGGTAACGTCCTGCTCGTTTGGCTGTTGTGCCTGATCAAGTCGGCAGAGTTCCGAACCGATGCCACTACGCCATTTCTCGCGTGCGATTTTATCTTTTGCGGCCGAAGTCGCTTCAACGCGACAGCTCGTGGAACGGATTGCGAAAGGGGCGGCGGAGGAGGGGGAGGTAGAGGCATTTTTGGTGGCGGTAATCGTGTTGGTGGAACGTGCGGTAATCTGGCTCCGCCTGGCACTCGGGGTGAACACGGTAGCAGAAAACCTGGAATAGGGAATCCTGGTCTAGGTGGTAGTGGAGGCATGGCTGATCGCGGTGGTGGTCCGTACCTGAACGGTCTCGGCCCGTACATAGGCGGAGGGCCCGGTATCGGTGGCGGCGGTACCGGCGGCATGCCAGGTGGAGGCGGCATGGGACGGAATGACGGCGGTGGACCACCGAAACCGAAGTGTGGCGGTGAAAATGGTCCGTCTTTCGCGAAACCACGCCGCGGTGACGCGAAATTTAACTGGCCGATCATCTTTCGATGTTGTCTGTTCTTCAATGAACGCATTTTATTAACTGATTTGGACGTCGGAGCGTCAGGCTCCAAACTGATATTACTAGTATCGATCTTTTTACGCGGTGTTGACTTTAATGAGCTGATATAAATCTCGCGTTCGATGGGATATCCGCGACCCTCTTCGAATGCTAGAACAGACACGAAAAGGAGGTTGCTGTAGGGTCTCTAGAAATATGTGAAACTTTAACTAGAACAGACGATATTATTGTTTCTTTAATGCAAGAAGATTCATGGCCACTTTCACCAAGTTACGATTAATTTGATCAGCGATGAAACAAGAAAACGAAACCGAGCGTAGCCAATAGGAGACACGCTGTTCCTAAGCATGTGCATTTTTGTATATTGTGAATTAATCTGGAACTGTTAGCTATAGCACAATACAGAGCTCAATGATAACAATTGGT